ACTTCTATTCATATTATATTTAATGATTCATCAAATAAATCAACATGTTTTTCTTAAGCAACTAGCACTCGTTGCCATCCAGACAAGGAACATTATGTCTCATCTACACTTGATGCTACACAATCCATGTCCTACGTGGATAAGGTAGAGGCCCCTGAGACCTTGTGTTTGGCATGGCAAGGTACCATTCCTAACTCCATCTTAAGGAAGGAGTCTCTGGCTGATTCACAGCCAACGTCACCATACTAATGCCTAACATCATTCAGATAGAGAGTCTTGTCTTGGCCATATTGGGTGTCACTCAACCTTGGTCCCGAAGTCACCAAGTCATAGACCTCCTAAAGTTCTCACACCCGATGCCTTTCAAACCCTTCTTGGTGCCATTTCAACCCAAGACGAGTCTCTCTTTTAACGTCTGGCACCAACAATCCTACACTCGGCATAATCGAGACAAAGAGCCTCATGTTGGAATGACACTCGACACCATGAAAGCGCGTCCAACATAAAATCATAATTTTGCATACATAAAACCCTATTTTGACCCAAAACCTGAAACTTAGCAAAAATCCAACACATGCAAATAAAAAATAATGATCCTACTTAACACAAAAAACTCATATCCAACTCAAAAAGCCATATGCAACAACAATTCATCCCATTCCCCCTCATGAACTTGAAAACCCAAACTTCTACCATACTTTTCATTTTGGATTCACCAACACAACCACAACTCTTCGAAATTTCACACCACATACAATAGAAAAATAATTTACTAACTAGCAACTCATCTAAATTACTATAATTCCAACTTCCCTTACCTTAGATCCAAAGCTAACCAAGGAAAGAGAGACCTCAAAGCTTCACACTATCACACCAAAATGAATTGAGCATTTATATTCAAGTCCCCAAAAACATTAATTCATTAACAAGACAACACAATGAGAATCAGAGAAGGATGATGAAAAGATTTAGAGAAAATAGAAGCTCATGGATCAGAGTCCTTCTATTTAGATTCCTCTTTTTAAGCTTCTGAGGACATGACACTCTATTCAAAACATAAATTTTATATAATCTTGCTATTAGGATCAAACTAGCCCTCTATCCAAAGAAATTCGTAGCACTATTAAAACTTTTAAGAGATCTTCAGACCTCAGACCCTAGGGTCTCTCAACATTGAACAAAAAATCCAGCTTAATAACATGAAATAACTTAAATTAATTACAACACTTTATAACTTATAGTATTACACTACTCTTATATTATATATTAAACAAAATCAATTATCTTATTATCTTATGCAAAAATATTTTTTAGGGACTCCCTCTAATGATAGCAAATTTATGATTTTTTTTAAACTTTTTTTATCTATTTCAATTTATATTTATCATATTTATTTATAAATTAAATTTTAATATTTAAATTTTTTTTATCAATAATTAAAAATAATTTTGATTCACAATATAAATTATTTATAAAAAAAATCCAAAATATAATTTCTATATTTGAACATATTTATTTATATAAAATTTTATTATAAATTTTAGTTATATATAATAAAATTTTAATTTTTTAATACACATGTTAAAATAGTAATTAATTAATATTTTAGTGTGCACATGTTTACGGTATTAATTAATTGGGGTTAGAGCTATGACTAGTTTCTTTGATTAATTGAGCCTTTTAATCGGAGGAGTTTTATTTTGGATTAGAACTCTCATGCAGTAACATATGCTTCACTCACGTTACAATCGAAGTTTTATTTTGGAATGATATGTTGATATCTAAAACAATTTTTTTATTATGTAAATTAATGAGATGAAATTCTTATTTTGATTAAATAACAGTACTAACAATGTTTATAGTATTGAATTTAAGTTTTATCATTTATTTTATGAAAAAATATTAGTAATATTATTTAGATAAATGATTAAATTACACTTTTGATCTTTTCATTGAATGATCATTTAGAAAGATAATACAATAATTAATATTTAATAATATTTAAGTTAAAATTCTCTTTTAATTTTTTTATTAGATAAAAATGAGAATTTAAAGTAAAATTTTGATAGAATATTATTAAACATTAATTGTTATGTCATCTAGTTAATGTTAAATCATGACTAACATTACAATTTTAATGATAAACATATAAACATTCAACGAGAGACCGAAATTGCGAATTTTATAAAATTGAGAAACTAAAATTGTGGATTTTAAAATAGATGAACTAAAATTGCATATTTAATTTTATAAAGGAGTAAAAAGCGTAATTTAATCTAGAAAAATTTGTAATCATTTTTTTTTATCTCTCCTCATCATTTATTTATTATATTTATTAATGATGGAGAAAATATACGCAATAAATAATGTTTTACAAATTGATGTACGTGTTATGTGTATCAATATTCTTATTTTTAACAAGTGATATTTTCTTAAAAATATTAAAATTTAATTTAAAATGACAAAAATAATAAATTAAAGGAGATAAAAGGTGAAGAAAAGAACGAATAAATTATAATGAACCTTTCTTATGTTATTTTTTGGTGGTAGTTTTTGGGGCTTCATGGTTATAGTTATTGGGTTGATGGCCATCATGCATGGGAACATTGGGAAGGAGTGCCTTCCCATGCATATGGAGAGAGGGAGAGAGTGTTTGGAAAAAGAAGAAAGTGAAGAAAATGAAGCAAAAATGAGGAGAGCCATAAGACCATAAGCCAAAGCAGCAGATGTAAAAGAGTTGGTATTAAACTTAAAAAAATGTCATGTGTGTATCTAAGTATGGAGAGTTTGATGTGAAAGAGACGTGTGTTTGCGAACATGACAGATTTGAGGCTATGGCGAGGGATTGGAGCACCACGACGATGTTAACTGGCAGGAGAATTCGAGGGGGAGTAACACTGTTTGGATGATGAAATTTATTTTAGAAGAAACAAGTGTAATAGAAAGAAGTAAAACAGAAGAGAAAATGAATAAATTTTAAATTTGTTTGAATTATTAAGATAAATAGGAAGAAGTGGAAGAGAAACAAAAGTGTGTATTTAAAAGATATATTTATTATTAAGCTTAAATAACTTTTTAATTCATGTAAAATAGGTTTTTTTTTTGTTTTTAGTTATTTTTAAAAAATATATACTTTTTTTAATAGAAAATTGTTTTATTTTTGTCCTGTATGGTTGACCCTTAAATCTAATGGAAAAGGCATAAAAAGAATTACAAGGATCAAAATATAAAAACGAGAAAATGTTAGGGACCAAATTAAGAAAATAACTAAAATTAAAACAACTAAAATTTAAAAAATAAAAATAAAAAATAATTTTTTTGAGATAATCAAAATAAAAATAACTAAAATTAAAAAGATTAAAACAAAATCAACCTTATTTTTTAAAGACTAAATATTTGTTTGAGTCAAATTTATAAAATTTAAATATTTAAATAAAAATAATATACTAATACATATTTTAAAAAAATTACAACAAATGTATTGATGACTATAATTTTTTTTATCAAAATTAAATGCAATATCTTTATAAAAGTCATTATAGTGACACAATTATCCATACAAATATATAAAAAATAAATATAATAAATAAGTAAAATAAACTAAATATATAAGATAGAGATATATATTTTTACATCATATCAATATCTCTTATAAATTATATTAAGAAAAAAATTATTATTTCATATACAGATGTTACCATTTATTTTAACATCTTTGTCATATTTTATGTTTTACTCTTAATTATTGTTCTCTATTTGTTATATTCCCTTCATTAGTTGATTGTGATTGTAACTTTATTGGAAAACTTTATAAAATTTTATGTTTAAGATTTAATGTTTTAGATGGTTATTAAAAAAAATAAGATTTTTATTATGTATAAGTGTAAATTAAACTTTAAATTTTATAATTTTAACTTAAATACAAGTTTAGTATTTTAATTTTAATCTTCCTAATTTTAGTTATTTTTGTTTTAATTATCTTAATTTTAATTGTTTTTTTCTCTCCAAAATCTATCAAACAAAAGATGCATAAGTAGGTTTTTTTTTTGTTTTTGTTTTTGCACAAGTGTTATAAGGCTTTGTTCTAGATTAATTTGGTTTGATCAGGGGTAAGTAAAAGTCTAGCCAAGAATCGAATTCCAGCATTGCTTAAATGATTCAACCTTAAATTCAACATATTAACCACTTGTATCCAACTCTTTGATTATATAAGTAGGTGTGAATTTGACTTGGATGAATTGAGTTGGAGAGGAAGTAAGAAATCATATAATTTGATTGATGTAAATATAATCTATTCAGATGAGATCAATGTAACAATTAAAAATAATATATTTATCAAAAAACTTAACTATTTTAATGAAATTATATAAAAACAATACATTTATTATTGTCCTTAGTATTTATATTATATATAACAGAGATGTCTCTTTTGTTAACCATTTTGAACTTCCCATATTTTTTGAAAAATAAAATATTTTGTTATAAAAAGAGACGAGTAGGTGGTTTATTGTTGACAAATTTTTTTTTTAATGGTTACATTGATCTATATCTCACTTCTTCTCCATCTTAGTTCATCTAAGTCAAACTCACACCCCACTTATGCGTCTTTTGTTTTGATAGATTTTGTAAAAATATTAATCATTTTAAAGACAATTAAATATTCAAACAGCCGTCGGTGTGAGACGGAAGAATTACTAATTAAAATAGTTTAATAAATACTATTCTGACTTCTATCTTAATTGGTAACATAGTTGATTCACTATATGATCCCGAGGGTAAAAATTATCCTACGCCTAACACAATATTCCGCTTAATTATTCAAATTTACTGAACCGCGTTAAAAGGTTGCATTGCATCATGACCACGTTCATCCACCTTCACATTCACATTCACCACATGCACACAACAAAACCCAATTTCCAATTTTTCTTTTGATTTTCTGTCACATCTCAAAACCCCACGTCCCCACCCTTTTATGTATATATTTCAAAAGAGTTACCACTTTTGTTTCTCTGTTTGTGCCTTTCTGCTTTCACCTTTCTCCAGTTCTCCCTTACTATCTCTAGTTTATCATATTCTGTTCTGCAATGACCTTTCTTTGCTCTCAAAACCGTTTTGTTGTTTTGGCTTCATTATTGTCTCTTCTTGGCCTAGTTTCCCTTCAATGGCAACTAGCTTCTTGTGCTGTGCTGTTGAGCATGAGACATCACCATGACCACATCCACCACCAGAAACCAATGGTTCCAACCAACCAAAGCACTTGTTCATTGTTCGTGGGTTCTTGGGTCCGCGATGAAACTGAAACATATCCTCTTTACCAATCTTCTAGCTGTCCAATCATAGACCCTGAATTCAATTGCCAAATGTACGGCCCTGATTCTGGTTACCTCAAATACCGTTGGAAGCCCCTCAATTGTGAGCTCCCAAGGTACAAACAACAACAAAATGTGGCCTAAAATAATGTGTCATGTTAGTGTTCTCTAATGTCACTAGTCAGTAGTCACTACATATTATAAAGTTACATATGTATAATATAATGTAGTATGTATTTATGCTAACTGCTAAGCATAATTTGAATGGTTTTGTGGCTTATTATGTCATGGTAGGTTCAATGGGGTTGAGTTTCTGCTGAATATGAAAGGCAAAACCGTGATGTTTGTTGGTGACTCGTTGGGATTGAACCAATGGCAGTCTTTGATTTGTATGCTATCTGCTGCAGTACCTCATGCACAAACACAATTGGTCAGGGGAGATCCTCTCTCAGTCTTCAGATTCTTGGTGAGTGAATGAGTATTGAGTAATCATGGCAATACTTGACATTTCCATTCCCAGCAAGATTTAGGCCATATTTGGTTGGTAAATAAGAGCTATATACAGCAATTTTACCAGAAGTAAATAGTTTTATTTTCCCTCTATGTTAAGTACTACCATTTAAAGTTAAGGCGGATAGGGTCATATATTTTTGTAATAGGACAAAGAATCTGTTGAAAAGGTGTTTGTGAGATAGTGTCAATTGGAACATGAAATGTAGCTGTCTACTTAAAACTCTCTTTGAGAGAGGGGACCCGGAGTGTTGTCAGACATTGAATTAGTCAAGTTGATGCAAACTACAGCCACATTATCTTCATGTTTTACCCTTAGAACAGTACATAGACCATGCAGAGAAAAAAAGCATTTTAGAGAAGAGGTCCAAATTGGGTTTGATATGATATGTTGTGCAGGACTATGGTGTGAGCATTTCGTTTTACAGAGCTCCTTATTTGGTGGAGGTGGATGTGGTCCAAGGGAAGAGAATTCTGAGGCTGGAAAAAGTAGATAAGGATGGTGACCCATGGAAGGGTGCTGCTGTGCTGTCTTTTAACACAGGGCATTGGTGGAGTCATCAAGGATCTCTTCAAGGGTAGGCCCTTTTGTAAGTTTATTCAAGAAAATCACTAAAAATGTAGTGTCCATGCACTTACAGTATGTAGTGTCCATGCACTTACAGTACAAGTAGTTTTTGTATTAACATTCAATCACAAATTATTTATAAAATTAGTTAATTTTTAAATAATTACTTTAAAATAATATTTTTTATTATTAACTTTTATAATAACTATTTTAAAAATTCATTCCACTATATGTTCGTCTGACTTTTATAATAACCAATAAATTTGCTACATGAATTTTTCACTAGCAAGCACAAAAATTAAACTCTTGAACTAATTAATGATTAATAGAAATGTTAGTAATAAAATATCTAATACAATCTTGCAGGTGGGATTATGTGGAATTAGGAGGCAAGTTCTACCCAGATATGGATAGGTTAGCAGCTTTGGAAAGGGCTATGAAAACATGGGCTAATTGGGTGGATACCAATATTGATAGAAGCAAAACTAGGGTGTTCTTCCAGTCAATTTCTCCTACACACTACAAGTAGGGAATCTCTATCTCTGTTATCAACTGCTTTCTCTCTCTTGCATTATTGTGTGGAAAGAAGAGTATTTGATTTCTAGCCTTCACAGTAATATTATTATTTTAATTGGGACACCAAGAAATTTGCCTTAGAAAAACACGGTTTATTAGACGATATACTATGATATTTTAGTTTTATTTACTTATAATTAAATATGAACCACACTTTTAAATTTTTATTTTTATTTTTTTTTGTAAAAATTGATTAAATCAATTGATAATTTATTAATCAGACATATGAAGTCAATAATTCTTCCCAGGTCAAACTACATTTTCGTTTTCCCATTTGCATTTATGTGATGAACTGAGTTAAGGGCTGAGAATGGGACCATTCTTTTGACCGGGCCTTGACAATTTGCACATAGATAATTGCAAGTTTTTTTTTTTTTTTTTTTTTTTTTTTTTTTTTTTTTTT